ATAGCGGCACTCTTTGTAATAGCCAGTACCTGGAAACAACCTAGGTGCCCCTCAATAGAAGAATGGTTAAAGAAGGTGTGGAACATGACAATTTCTTAGAAAATTAGGAAACAACCTTCCTCAAGACCCAGCAATACCACTTTTGGGTATATACCCAAAGGGTGTTCAATTGTACCACAAGGACATGTACTCAACTATGTTCATTGCAGCATTGTTTGTCATAGCTAGAACCTGGAAAAAACCTAAATGCACTGCGACCAAACAATGGAAAAGGTGTTCATATGTTAAAGCATCCTTGTTTCTCTGGGATGAAACTTACTTGATCATGATGGATAATCATTTTTGACATGTTCTTGGATCACTTTGCCAGTATTTTATTGAATATTTTTGCATCAATGTTCATGAGGACAAGTGTTTTGTAATTCTCTTTCTTTTTGAGTTTTTGTGTGATTGAATATCAGGTTGACTGTAGCCTCATAAAAAGAATTTGGCAATATTCTTTCTGTTCCTATTTAATAGACTAGTTTTTAGCGTATTGGTATTAACTCTTACTTGGAAGTCTGGCAGAATTCTATGCAAAAATCATCTGGTCTTAGACTTTTTTGGGGGGGGATACTTTTACTGATTGGTTCCATTTCCATAGGAGTTATGGTTTACTTAAATTATTTGTCTTGGTTTATCTTTGGTAAGTTGTAAGTATCTAGAAAATTATCTGTTTCTTTTAAATTTTCCAATTTGATGGAGTACAGATTTTTAAAGTATGTCCTTATGATTATCTGAATTTTCTCAATTTCTATTGTTATTCCCCCTTTTTGTTTCTGAATTTGTTAATATGCATATTATCTCTCTGCCTTTTATTTAGTTTGGATAAAGATTTGTCTATTTTGTTGATTTTCTCAAGGAACCCATACTTTTATTCATTCATTGTTTCATTGATTCTTTGGATGGTAGTGGTGGTGGTATGTTTGTTGGTCTATCTGTATGTATGTATGTATGTATGGATGGATGGATGGATGGATGGATGGATGGGTGGATGTGTATATATTTTCCTTCTTTTAATTTTTCTGCTCTGAGATTATTTATTGGCTGTTTTTGTTTGTTTTTTTTTGTTTTGCTTTGCTATTTTTTTAAAAAATTTAATTGGGGTGTCTTACAGTTTCAGAGGTTCAGTCATTAACATCATGATAAGGAGCATGGCAGCATGCAGGCAGACATGGCACTGGCTACATCTTTACCAGAAGGTAGCAGGAAGTCAACTGTTTGTCACACTGAGGGAAGCTAGAGCAAAAGAGACCTCAAAGTTCACCCCAATAGTGACATACTTCGTTCAAAAATGCCATACCTCCTAATAGTGTTGCTCCCTTTGGACACTTACCTAAAGCATTCCTAAGTTTATTGGCCAGAAATGATAGAAAATAATCAAAGAATCAGAAGGTAGACCCACAGAGTGAGAGGGTAAATATGAAAGTCTAAGAGCTGAGCAAAAATCATAGCCCTGACCATAGCTCAAAGAATGCTCTTAAATGTAAATATATAATAAATGAATATAACAAAGTAATTTCTTTCCCTACATCAAAATATACAACTGAAAAGATTGTTATCTGGACTTCTATAGTAATGTTTTAGAATCTTTATCTTAAAGATTCTAAAAAAATGTTTTGTTCTTTTCATGAGTATAGTTAGCCTCCTTCGGTTACAGTCCTCCTTCTAGCACCTTCTGTAAGGCTGGATACTGTTTAACTTTATCTTTATAACAGAATATTTTATTTTCTCCATCTATGGTGGAAGAAGTTTTTCCTGGAAAGAGTTATTTGGACTAGCATCTTTGGTCTCTTAGAGTCACAGAACATCATTCCAGGCCCTTCTGTCTTAGGGTCTCCATTGAAAAATCAGGTGTGATTCTAATAATTCTGCCTTTACGTGTTACTTGACATTTTTCCCTTTTAAACTTTTATATTTTTTCGTTGTTATGTGGTGAGAGTACTTTCTTTTATTATTCAGTCTATCTGGTATTCTGTATGTTTCTTGTAACTTTATAGGCATCTCCTTCTTTGATTAAAGTTTTCTTATATGATTTTGTAGAAAACGTCTTTCTGTACCTTTGAACGAAGTTTCTTCTCCTTCCTCTGTACCTAATGTTTTTATATTTTTGCGTTTTCATAGTTTCTAAGATTTCCTGGATATTTTATTTTCAGAGATATTTTAAATTCAAGTTTTTTTCAAATGTATCTATTTCATTTTTCATATCTTCAATGCCTGAGGTTTCCAGTTCTTGTATTCTGTTAATGTAGTTCCTCCTGAAATTTCTTAATTTTTCATTTCCAGAATTCTGTCAGTTAGTGTTTTTTTATTTATTTTATTTCCAATTTAAAGTCCTGAACAGTTTTATTTTTGTGTTTTCCAGGATTTCTTTTAGTGATTTATTAATTTCTTCTTTAAGGACCTCTATCATATTTGTAAAGGCTGTTTTGAGATCTTTTTCTTGTGCTTCATCATATTGGAACATTCAGGGCCTGTTTTATGATACCTGTGATTTCCTGGAGCCATGTTGACTTAGCTGTTTTTCATTATATTTTTATGTTTTTATGCTGGTTTCTTAGCACCTGGGTTTTGGATGATTTTAGGAATAGGTGTTCATTTCTGGATTTTTTTATTATTATTGGGTGAGTACTTGGTTCCTTCGTTTTTCTTTCTGCTATTTCCTTCACCCATTCAGCTGTTGTGTTCATAGGGAGTGCTTGCTGGTGTTGCCAGTTGGGATACTGAAATGAGTAGCGGGCAGAAAGGTTGGAGAAGGTCTTTGTGATATGTTGGGGATGGGATGAGAGAGGAAAGGGAGATCACAGCAGGCTTTCTCTTACAGAGGTAAGGATGAGACTCAGGGGACTGGATCTCATGAGTAAGAGAGTTGTGGGTCTGGCTTTAGCCTTCTTGTTGCCTTTGGAAAATAAGTCCTGGTGTTAGCAGGGGGTGTCTTCTGGAGTTGGAGTCCGAGACAAAGTAACAAGTAGTGGGATAAACATTAGGAGAAGATTTGACATCAACAGAAGATGGGAACAGGGGTACAGAGAAGGCTGGCATCAGTGTTCAGCTACAAAGCTGTGGATGAGACTGGAGGATTGGGTCTAGGGCAACAAAGAGAGAGAGGAGAAGGTCTGTGAGCAGCCTACTTGATTTTCTGGTCAGTAAACGGGGAGGTGTAGAGTTGGGGGCTAAAAGCAATGAGAGTTTGGGAGGTATATTAAGAGAGGATGGTTTGTGGGATCCTCTGGAGACTTGGGCAGGGGAAAAGGAAGGCTGAAGCTGCTTTCTGCTGAAGTGCTAGGAACAAATGTGGGGGAACCTTAATTTTATTTTTAATGGTGTTATACAATACAGTGTAAAGAAATTATTGTTACTGACAGTCATTAATTTATAAGTAATTTCTTTACTAATTGTCAATTCATAAGATGGAATTTTAAGGCATATTGTTCTTTTTTATATAAGCCTAATGTCACAAATGTGTTACAAAGTTCCTTCACCACAAAATGTAGATATTTATTTTCTTTAAACAATCTAAACTGTAGTGTTGATAGCTGAAAAAACTAGAAATATCAGTATGAATAATTCAGGTTCTTGAACATATGAGTATTGGTTAATCAAAAGACGTTGAGGAGAGAGCGGGCCTGTGTTCCTTCCCACCCGGGTAGCTTACACCCGAAATAATCACACAAAAACTGTTTTCATTTAAACTCTGCCTGACCCATTATCTCTAACCTCTTCTTGGCTAATTCTCACATATTAGTTTAACTCATTTCCATTAATGTGTATCACCACTTTACTGTGGCTTACCAGCATAAGTCTAACCAGCGTCTGTCTAAGGCAGGAGAATCATGGCATCTGCCTGACTCAGCTCTTCTTCCCAGAATTCAGTTCACTCTCCCTGCCTACCTAAGCTGCTGCCCTATCAATAGGCCAAGCCAGTTTCTTTATTCAGTCAACGAAAGCAACAAAATACATAAGGTCCTCCTACACCATAAAGATATAATGCTCATAGAAATGTCTTCCAATGTTGTATTAAATGGGAACCATAATATTTAAAGGTTATCTGTGTTTTTTCCTGAAGAAAAGGAATACAACTGTGTTCTTAAATTTAGCTTTTAAGATACTTTCATATCCTTAAGAGTGTAGTCAGTTTCCATTTTCTTTTGTCACTTGCAATTAAGCTGTTAAACCATTCAGAAAAATCCTGCAGGCTCCCTACTTATCTTTGTTATCATCATGAGAAATGATTTCAAATAGATAGAAAATAAATTAGAAATCACTGGAATCATTAATCTTTAGACATTATTGTGTTGAAATTACCGTGTATTATTATATAGACACATGTAAATTCAGAGTATAGTGATGAGCACAAAAAATATGTTGTCAACTACTTATTAAGTAATAGTATAGAAAGAAACCTACCCAGTCCTCCAGTAGTATTTTAAGTGTGGTACTTGGTACACTGTCAGTTTCTGAGCCGGTGTGCTAGTTTCATACCTGTTTCTGTGATATATCCTGACAGAAAGCAACTTAGGGAAGGAAAGAGTTTATTATTAATCTTACAATTGCAGGTTACACTTCATGGTTTAGGGGAAGTCAAACACATACACTCAAGTAGCTAGTCATATGACATCATAGTCAAGAGCAGAAACAAATGGATCCAGGCTGCTTGCTTGCTTCTCCTATCTAGTTTTTTTGCATCTTATATAATTTAGGGATCCCTGCTAGGGGTTGGTGCTGTCCACAGGGGCTGTATCAGTTAACAGACAATCCCGTGGAAATGCTCACAGACAATTTGGTCTAGATAACTGCTCAACTGCTACTCTTTTTCCAGGTGATTTTAGGTTAAGGCAAGTTGACATTTTCAGTTAACTGTAACAGTGGGAGACACATGATTTGGATTCAAATGTTTGGAATTCAAATCCACGTCGTCATTCAAACTATTTCTCATGAACTCAATGCATTTCACCATTTGCGCTGATCCAATGTCTGTATTTTATTAAGTGATGCTTCAAAGAGATTATGTCTTTTTTGCTAATAACAGCAAAAAAAAACAACACTAAAGCAGTGTTTACAAATCTCAGAAAACAGAGAGAACTGATGATCCTTGTGATGATTCTTCTCATCTCCTATATAATTCTTTTAGGCATATTTAACACACATTGTAGAAAAATAAGAGTTAACATCATCTATTTGTAGTATGTCAAATGCAGTATGAGTTTCATATGTCATAATCCATGAATTGTGTCAATGAATAAATAAGTCAATGAGGGGAATTCAGTATTAGACATAAATTATTAAAAATAAAGGAATAAATAAGCAAGATGGAAAAAAGAAAGGAAGGAAAGGAGACAGAGAGAGAGAGAGAGAGAGAGAGAGAGAACAAAGTCAGAGCACAGTTATTTACTTCTAGTTGTATGTTTGTGTATGTATGCTTGGTGTGTATTGTGTGTGTGTGTGTGTGTGTGTTCATCTGTGAATTAGTAGATACATAAGCACATGTGAGCAAGCAGAAGGAGGCCTGAGGTTGACCTTAAGTACCCTGTTTGTTTCTCTGTTTATAAGACAGGGTCTCTACATGGCCCTGGTCGTCCTGGAATCCAGTATGTAGACCAGGCTGGTCTCAAACTCCCAGAAATACACCTGTCTATAACTCAGAGTGCTGGTATTAAAAGTGTGTGCCATCACTCCTGGCTTGGTGCCCTTTTTGATAGTTCTCCACTCTACTTTTTGCAGCATAGTGTGTTGCTGAACTCAGGACCTGCCAATCTAGGTAGGCTAGCTAGCCAGTTTACCCCAGGGATTCCCTGTATGTACCTTCCAAGCACTAGAATGACTAGTGGTTACCACACAAACCTAGCTTTGGATGTGGATTATGGATATCAAAACTCTGATTCTCAGACTTACAGAGCAAGAATTTTGTTCAGTGAGCCAACATCCCAGACCCACAATTTGCTTTATAAAGTTATCATAACTTAGAGAAAAAGAACATAAAATTGATGCTTATGGAAGTAGGAAGATATGGGAAGAACAGGGGCATGTAAAATGATCAAAATATATTGTATGAATTTTTTCAATAAAAAATAACTGCAATAAAGGCCTTACCCCAACCAAATACAACTCTATATCCTGTGTCCGATGTGCATCAACTTTTCTGCTTTCTTGCATTTTGGCTGTCATTTTGTCACATGAGTTTAAGCCACATCCTCACAGCCCAATTTTCTATTTCTGAGAAGTAAATGGAATCAACATTTCCCAAAATATGTCCTCCATAACTCTCATTTAGGGATGCTAATTTTGTACAAAAACATTTCTATGGTCAGTGGTTTGGAATATGAAGCTAAAATACTGTTAAATAAGACTGAGTCTTATTTAATTATTTATTAATTGAAAGACTCTCAAGAGACTGTTAACAAAATAAAGAATTTTAAATCTTTCAGAAACTGATACAACATATAACGTCCTTTTGAAAATGAAATTCCCTATATTTTCCTTTTCACTGACTCCCAACTAGTTAGTGAAGGCGATGCTTTGGCAACAACGCTGTGGGGTTTAAACCAGGAAATGTCCTACTTTCATTCTTTCCCCATGCATTGTACTACTGACTCTTCCTGGGAAGGAATAAAGAAATATTTATTCACTATACATAGGGCACTGAATACTGTTCAAAGAAGCTGTTCCACTCAAGTATATTTTAGTAAACCAATGCATTTATTGGCGTTACTTACAAGAACATGGATAATTCCAAGGCTGTGCATCATGAAAGTGCCCAAGACAGCAGGTGAACAATAAGGCTGTACTCCTGGCGCTTCCTACCCAGTTAGCAGCCGAACACTTCAGAGAGTTTTCTCTCCTAGCAATTGTTTAGAGATTTCCTATCCTTTAGAAGTAACCTTGTGAATTTTGTCACTTTCTGAGCTTTTTATCCTTGTGAGATTCATGAACTTCCTGAGTCCATGAGCTTCTCTTTCCTTTCCTGCTAAGATTATTTCTATTCATTAAAAAAAACATTAGCTATTAAATTCCTATCTTTTGGTAATAATAATAAAGGTGATCAATACAGAAGAACGTGATGTCTTTATGTATCTAATAAAGGCTTAAATTAAATTTAACCACTAAACTCTTCTCATCATTCTTGTTGGTTGTATCATTAGTTATAAATAAATCACACAGTCATAGTGTAGAGATTTATGCCTCTAAAACAATTTCTCTTTAAAATTCAGAAACTATTTTGGTCCATTACAGTGAAGCATTACATAGGGAAGTGCTCCATTCCATCTTCTATACACTGAGAGAATGACAACAGTTGCACACAGGTTATAGGTCACTTCCAAGTTCTACCATTCACTAGCCTTATCCTTAAGTAATAAGTTTACATATATCAGTTTGTCTTGTGTTGATGTGTGAGTGTGATCCCTTTCATGTAAGTGATGTGACAAAGGGCACACTGTTTTGCAAATGAACTACTCAGACAACTCTGTAAGCACTTGCTTTCTCAATAACCTCTTAATTATTTGTAGTTTGTTTTAAAGACCATCCTGGCATTCTTTGCCTGGTTTGTGCTATACTATTGAGTCACACAAAAACACATGGTAGAGGTTTTGGATTTTATCATATTTTAACAAAATGACATCATACATTACACATATCAGAAGAATATCTAAATGTAAGGAATCTTCATCAGATAATACTATAAACACTGTATTGGGTCACTAAGTGGTTTGCATGTTTTTTTTTTTTTAGAGATTTTTCTCTCCTGAGCAAGGAACCTAGTTGAGTTCAGGGTAGAGTGCAATCACAGAACATAAAACAATTCTCTACCTAAGCAATAGAGATTGTTTTGTGAAACTTCATCCCATAATGAATTCTATATATGATCAAATTTAGATCTGAGACTCTGAATTGACCATAAAACTTTAGGAATGTTATATGGTTTTCAAGCTGTACAAGTAGTGATCCAGAAATCTTAGCATCATATAAGGTCATCTATTTCCTACTTGTTCAGCTAGTTTTGAAGGATGGTTCTAATTCCTTTTATGCACTAATTTGTTACTGCATGTCTGAAACATTCAAATTTTCAAAATTTTGTCATTTATCCCAGAAAAAAGACATTTCAGATTGTTGTGTTTTAAAGATGACAGTTTCAGAGCAAACTGACAATTTTGTTTTCCTAAAATACTACTTGAATTATCATCATTTCCGTCCATACATATTTTGAAGATTAATAAGTGGTAGGTTTTACAAGATGCCAAAAATGGGAAAAATCCTTAACCTAGATGGAATGCATAACTATTGCAATCCATTGCCTCCTCAGTTCTCTGTGAATTGCCATTGCTTCCTCAGTATTTTTCATTCAAAATTGTTACCCCTTTTCCTTTGATGTCAAGTGTAAGTGGTAGTATTGCTCCATTCTGAATATACTAGAATTTATATCATTTTGTCTTGAATTTTAAAACTTTTTGTTGTTATTCTTGGTAACCAGTGTAGATGAATTTTTTCAATCATTTATAAGGAATATAATTTTATGAGAAGGCATGCCCTTTATATATAAAAAAAGATTCTTTATGTATAACTAATTCCAAAAACTAATTATGAGAGCTATTTAACTGAAAGCAGTCAGGATAATTATAGAATATTAAAAGTTAGCAGAACATACTCTTTAAAAAAAGTTAGTTTCATGGTATCTGTTCTTAATAAGTTAAGGATTTGTGACAAGCTTTGACTTTACACAGACACACTGAATTCTTTTACTTACCCATTATTGGGAGAAAAGAAAATGAATGAAAGTATTTCAGATACTATTCTAAAAAAAAAAACAACATTTTCTTTAAATTTCTCTGTATGTGTATTTTGTCTGCATGTATGTATGTGCCCTGTGTGAATACCTGTTGACTAGGAATGCAAGAGGTGGAAATGTGATCCACTAGACTTTGAATTCTGGAAAGTTGTAAAGCTCCATGTATCCACTGAGAATGCATTCCCATTAATTTACAATGGCAGTAAGTAATGTAACTTGCTAAGGCATCTCTCCAGCCCAATCCTTTTTAAATACTCTGGGCATGCCTCTACTGGTTCTGGGAACTTGCTTTCTTATGGAAGAGAACTGTGTGGAAGGGATCTGGACTGTTTCATTGATACCATGTGGGATTTCTATTAAGTTGCCGAAGTGTGATGTTTGCCATCTCTGGCCTATCAGATTGGGTAGATATTTCTACCCTCATAACACTCTCCTCTGCAATGGAAGTCAGGCGCCATTGTCCTTGAAAAGTGGGAGAGCTTTTGTTACACTAGGTTTCTTGTTTGGCTTCACAGGCATTTTATTTCGTACTAAAAGGATAACAGTTATGAACGAATTAGGCCCTTCTTAGGCAGGAGAATCCTGCCTGGGATAACAGTGCCTGTCGTTACAAATTCTTCAATAATCTGCCAGGAACGGGTTGTGCTGTGTAGCGCTGCTCATTTCTATATCTCATTTTGGATTGATGTACGCGCACTTTTATATCCTTCAGTTCGATATAACATTTGGCCTTTCATGTTCTCAGCTTAAGCTACAGGGAATTCAAAGATATTTCAAAGTGTAATTATGCCAATCTGCATATAAAAGGCTATATGTCCTACAGAGGGTTTTATGAAAAAGCAAATGCTTTCAAAGAAGAAAATTAGAAGTAATTCTCACAACTGAAAGTCACCAAAGTTAATGCATATTTCATTTGACGAGAACACTTTATATTTTTAAGCCGATATATTAATCCAGAAAATAGTGGTGATTTTGTGTGTGTGTGTGTGTGTGTGTGTGTGTGTGTGTGATGTGTGTGAGTGAAGTGATGAGGAATAAAGTAGAAGTGAAAATTGAAGAGCAAAGCAAAGAAAGGGCAAGTACACACTATATATGTTGTTCGGAAAAATAGCCTTATGACACCAGAAAAGTCAATGCTTATATTACTGTAACAGACAATGAGTTTCTCAATTATCTATTGTATTAGCTATCTATTGTTGCTAAACAAGACTCCCAGGAAGAAAGCAGCGTAATCCTCCCGCGTTTATCTCACGGTTTGTGTGGTTTGGAATTAGTGCAGCTCAGTTAGTGCCGGGCTGAAGTCTCTCGGGAGATTTTTGGTCACGCTGTCTGCTGGGGAGCAGTCTTATCTGAATGCTGAAGTTGAGATGCGACTTCTGAGATCAGTCATGTGGTTGTTTGCTTGCCTCCATCTTTCGTCAAATGAGCCTCTCCACGCAGCTGCATCCACAGCATTTCTGCAAACAGCACAAGAGACAAGCAAACAGTATATATACAAGGAGCCTCTCAAAGGGACTACCAAAGAAGCTGTTCTATCCTGACGTCACAGAGATGTCTCTTGCCTCCTCCCACTGTGATCTCTCAAAGCTGGCTTGTTATATCCCACCTCCCTTCAAGAGATAGGTTTGAATGACAGAGGCTGTCTCCCTTCATGTGTCTGTTCTTGCAAAGTCATTTTTTAGCCTTTTTTTTTATAAAACATGCAAACGACCTTTTAAGAAGGAAATCCTATAATGATTTTAAACGGGACAAACATATTTTTTTTAAAAAAATAAACTCTTTAAGTATGTTTTTTCAAGCATATTGCTCTTCAAATTTAACTTTTTGAATTCAGGATGCTTCTTTCACTTAAAATGATGAAAAAGCGGTATGACTTTTAAAGTGTTTCTTTTTATCTTTTAAGGGAGAATTAGCATTTAAGAAACCTCAGAAACATAACTGTGCGATTCTAAAGCTAACAAAGTACTTAGCAGAGAAGTTGAGCAGCATATGGCTATCCTAGTCCCAAACAGTAAACTATGTCTGCATGTGCCAATTCTTAATTACCAGCTCATTAACACACAGGTGTCAATTGCTGGTGGCAAAGGCAATACCCACATGGCCTAGTTTCTGTCGTGCACAGTGTAATTAAATTGACCTCCAGTGCTGAAGCTTGCTAGTTCCCTATTACTATTTGGATACTAATCTCTGCTCCTAATCAAATTAAAACAATATGGCAAATAAATCAATATAAAAAGGGAAAATATGCTATTTTGTGCTGTTTTTTAAAATGCAACTTCATATGGAAATATAACCTTAAAAAGGGTTGTCTAAATAATCACTGATGCTAGATATAACAAACAACAAATAGCAATGTGCATTGCATGTACTGAATGTTGGTGAGATCGATCTACATTTGATAATCAGAGTACAGCTGTTGCAAAATAAAGGGAAAATAGATTTTTGTAGATGTGACTTTCAGGTAAATGAGTTGTGTGTGCTATGGTTTTCATTATTGATACGTAATGAAAAATGCATTGTTTAGTTTTACATTTTGATTATTGATTCAAACATTATTGCATCTCAAACATATCAACACTTTGCAATAAAGCCATACCAAACGTAAAAGCTATACCAACAGGTATTTTACAGCTAAGGATTCAAAGCTATGAATGGTCTTACGTGGGTACCGTGGGGATTTGCTAACTAAGTAGAAGTTTATTTTCAAGCTTCTGGTTAAAGAAAGCAAGAGAGATAAATTTTTAGACTAACCTTTCTTCTTCTTAAAATTTCCCTAAAGGAAAAAATTTAAAAACAAAAACACAAGGGACAATAAAAGGAATGTAGAAAAGCCCCTCTTATATCTGGTGAATTTTAAGCACAGTTGGGTGTGCTCACTGACATAACAATATAGGTATGACTTAATTCTTATAACAGAGTAGGAAGATAATGTAAGATTTGTTCCTCAGAAAATCTCAGAGGCTCAGAAACTGGTTGAGCAAATTAGCTGAGGAAAGAGAGTGAAACTAAACCAAAAGCAGGATTTTAAAAAAATGCCATTAGAAGTCATTAGACCTCCCATATGCCCTCATCTCCCAGCACAGGTAGGCGATCAAGTGTTCACTATATTTGGAATAAGGGCTTATCCTTTTGGAGGGTAACAGACGCAGTGCCTAGATTGGAAGACAGCAGGCAGATGTCTGATCATCATACTCGAAGTCTGGATATTCAGTCTCCCAGGTTGCTCTTCCCAATTAACTTTCAGAGCCCCGGTACTTAGGGTTATGCCTCTAAGCAAAAGATCTGAAAAAAATTCTCTTGAACATCGAACTTACTTAAAGAAAATATACCTAAATACAGTAATGTGAACTTTCTAATTAAACTATTCTGCTAAAGGACTTGACAAAAGATTTAGAAAATAAACATGCAATAAAAAGAACCAATGTTGTCACACACAAAACAGACTTTAAAAATAGGTAGAAAATAAACAACCAAACAACAGAAGTTAGTAGAGAAGGTTCAATGTCTAAGTAATAAAGAGTCTGTGATGAAAAAAAGTAAGCAAAAATGATGCAATTTTCAAAATCTTAAAGGGTTCATTTGTAGGTTCAAAGAATTTACAAGGTGCCTTCAGCACAGATTAAAATAGATACACATTCAATTCCATGGTGTTATGAGTTTTCAGAACTTGATAATAAAGTGATTATTCCGTGCATTTACAAAGGAGTTAGGGAACCTTCAGAAAGAGTTGTTTCATGAAAATATTCTTCTTCGGAAGACAGCATGTTGACCCCTCTCAAACACTCTGAGAGTGGAGAGTTAAACAGGGCAGGTAGTTCTGGTTCTCAGAAAGCATACGGATATGTTGAGGTCAACATACTGAGTCTGTCTTTATAGCATTGGATTTCAGTGGTTCTTCTGACTCTCGGGGGTTGTATTCTAGTTACCATTACCTGTCAACATGACACAGTTAGAGAAGAGACTCTCAACTGAGGTATTGCCTACATGAGATGGGTCCGTGTGCAGATCTGTGGGAGATGGACTTGACTGTTATTGATATAAAATGGCAAAGCCCGTTATGGGAGGCACAATTGCTATGCAGGCATTCCTGGGTCATAAGAGAAAGCTAGCTAAGCATTGGTGTGGGAAGCAGCAAGTAGCATTTTTCCATATGCTTGGCTTTTAATTTGGTTTTTGTTCCTGCTCTGACTTCTCTCAATGTTGAACTGTGACCTGGGGGTGTAAAGAAAACCAACCCTTTTCTCTCTATTTTGTTTTTAATCACAGTGATTTATTAGTAATAGAAATAAAACTAGAACAAGAAACAAAATTCCACATGCAAGGCCCTGCATAACCTAGCCCTGTGTGTCTATAAATGTCAATCATATGAATGTATAACCCACTCTGAAGTAACATTACAGGCAAGATGGGCTGTGAAAAACTGTTCTCCATCTTCTCAAACAGATAAATTTTCCTAAGACATGACTGAGTTTGTGTGTGAGGGGTTACACCTGTGCACACACTGATGACTCAATTCTGTGCATTATGCATATTTACTCCATGATTAACCTACATCCCTGGCCATTCAGCCAGATATTCTAATACAGTTGTCTTCCTTGACACAAACTATTGCATCTCAAATAATTAGCCTATCATGCAGCTAGAATCTGGACTTGATTTCTATAAAAATAAGCATCTGGGCTTCGATACAATGACAGTGAACAGTTTGGCTTTTAGGTCTGGCACAACTCTAAAATATCAGATAATAGATATCTTTACAGTATTCTTCTCAATAACTTAGAGGATTGAGATATTATCGGGAGTAATGTTAACATTTACTTCATTTCTCAAAATAGACAAAGTTGGGGTGTGTTTGTGTGTGCGTGTGCGTGTGTGTGTGTGTGTTAACAGTTGTGAGCAGATACACACGCACATTTGTGAATGAAGATGAAATAAATCACCATGGCTTCTTTAATATCACTTTCCAAATTCTTTTGTTGATAAAGTCTCTCACTGAATCTACAACTTCTAGATTCAGCTAGACTGGCTGGTAATTAAACCCTAGAGATTGTTCTATAATTTCCTCCTCAGTACTGGGGTTGAAGGTGTGCACCAACTCTCCTTTCTTAGGGCTGGTGACCAAACATAGGTCTTCAGATTTGTGGCACAAACACCTATAGACTGAGGCATCTCCCTGACTTAATAATGATGAGCTCTTGAAAAGAAAAAGTAAAATGAATGGAATTTGTGCCCTGGCAATTGAAGCATGCATGGTCAGCTTGTATATAGTGGTTCTGTTGAGTTTGTCCATATTAGGTTTCATGGTCTAAGTTGGTGAGAATGACTGACCAGGTCTCTTCCTCAAGAGGGCACCTGATCTCATTACAGATGGCTGTGTGCCACCATGTAGTTGCTGAGATTTAACTCAGGACCTTTGGAAGATCAGGCAGTGCTCTTAACTGCTAAGCCATATGTCAATCCAATTTCATGCCCCTAAACAGACAGCTTAAATGGGATCAATTGTGACTTCCTTAGAGAATGTCCATTTAAGCTTTTGAGTGGGAAGTAAATCCACCTTTGTTAGAGCTGTGGAGTGATATAAATCTACATTATCAGTGATATCCATTGACTACACTAATGGCACATATGTCTATCAATTTTCCTTAGTTCCAATACCAAAGAACACCTACGAAGTGCATGTTTTTAAAGACTGTGTCTTTACATGTTCTTCTTCCCCTTGGTCACGCACCTATTTTTCATTATAGTGAGATGCTGCTGCTTTCTAGAAATCTCTGTTCATTCTCAAATTATAAACTCATGTCACGGTTTCAAAGATCTTATTGTGATGTTACAGTTAAGAACCTTGATAACTGGCAAAGTCAAGAGGGCATCCAACAATATTGTGCCATTGTTTATCTACTCTTGATATCTAGTGACCTAGCCAGATAGTTTGGTATTTTATTTGCTTGTTTGTGTTTTGTTTTGGCATAGTTGTCCGTTCTTGCTCCAGAGTAAGATTGACAACCAATGTCTTCCTCATCTGAGCTTCAGGGAGACTGTTTTGCTGTGTGTCTGAAAGCAACCACTGTGACACTTTGTGTGGAGTTTTGTGTCCTCTCACATGTTGTGAGGATATATGACTGACACCATTTTACTTTCTTTACTTTCCCTATCCAGCAGCAGATATTCTGGTATCTACCTCCAAATTGCAAGGAAGCTCCTTAAACACGGACAGTAAACAACCCAGAATAGCTTCAGGAAGTTCCTGAAACTGAAAGGTTCAAAGAGTTCCTCTTTCCCTATGATTGCATAAGCCCTAGAGACTGCTGAGAGTCATTCTCTGGTGATCTGAGCTTCTTTAAAAAAGCATCTACATCCGCACTTCCTCCATCCCCATCCTTCCCCACTCCCACTCTCCAGGCCCAGAAATGCCTGGAAGAAACAGAGACCAAAGGAACTGACTGCATGCTGACTATAT